TTAATTCATGTGCAACCCATCTATCCAGCTTCTTAACCTTGCTCATTTGTTTCACATGGTCCACTGTTGCTGGAATAGTAATGTCAGACCTCACTATTCATTCACGCATTGGTTGAGGTGGATTCACTTCTACTAAAGCTTTTGGTCCATCATTAACCACCTTGGTTTCACATTTGCCCACATAGCTTATTTTCAGGATTAAAATCACCACAATAGAACTTCTCAAACCATTGATATATTGTATGTTCATTAGACACATACATCCCAAATACTTGATACTGCCAGCTGTCTGCACTGCATTAGTTCCATGGTGGAAGTCATAATTGAAAATGACACTCATTTTTTTTGATGGTGCCTGTGGCTCAGTGGGTAGTGCTCCAGCCCCATATACCAAGGGTGGCAGGTTTGAACCCGGCCCCAGTCAAACTGCAACAAGAATATAGCTGGGTGTTGTGGCGGGCGCCTGTAGTCCCAGCTACTCAGGAGGCTGAGGCAAGAGAATTGCCTAAGCCCAGGAGTCGGAGGTTGCTGTGAGCTGTGTGACACCATGGCACTCTACTGAGGACGACAAAGTGAAACTTTGTCTCTCTAAAAAGAAAAAATCCAAAACACTAATTTTTGATTTATCTATAGTTTCATAAAAAATGCTCCAAAAAATTTGAAAGATAATCACAAGCCATCACAATGTGCATTTGAGAGAATGAGGATGTATCTTCAGAATAAAAAAATAAAACAGGTATCAAAGTGAAATTTCAGAGGTATCAACTATCAAATTGAGTAAGGGTCCAATCTGTGGACCGCAAGCATCTGTCCCCAGATATATGTGATGCAGCCTGGACAATCTATTGAAGGCTCTGGTGTATGTGGCTGGCATCTTAGCTGCTTGAGCCACAGACGCGGAGCCATAACCTGTAATTTCTTTTCTTTTCTTTTCTTTTTTTTTGAGACAGAGTCTCACTATGTAGCACTTGAAGGAAGTTTGGAGAATAAAGCTTCTACTTTTAAATTTTAACACATATGCTTTGGGGATAGATGATAGACTGATGCTACAAGCTCACTTGCCATTTTTATTAGAGGTATTGAGATGACGGAATTGCTGCCCCAAACTCAAATTTGGTGAAGTATCATTGCATAGTACATCAAGATAATTTACGCACAGAATATTTTTAAATGGATAACATCATGCAAATCATCATCAAGGCTGTGAATTTCATAAAGCCCAAGGGAGTTGAATCATCGCCAATTCTAGGAATTCCTTAAAGGTATTGATCCTGACTATGGCAATATCTTTCACTGTTCGGCAGTAAGATGGCTAAGTCGATGCCAAATGTTGAAAAGATTTTATGATTTATGACATGTTATCAAGTCATTTATTGTATCAAAATCCTACTTTGTGCCAGAATTTGACAATGAAAATGGGCTTACAGATTTAGCATTTTTAATGGATTTCACTGCTCATTCATTGAGTTAAACATGAGCCTTTAAGGTTAAAAAAAATTTACCAGTACAGTGTTTCAAACCATAACAGGATTCCAAATGAAACTGAAATTATGGCAAACCCAAATTAAAGAAAATAATTTTGTGCATTTTGACATGCTGGCTAGACATTTTGGATAAACATAGTCCTGTGAACAATGAAAATTGTGTAGTCTTGCTTTTGATTTGATGCTGCAAGAATTTGAAAACAGATTTCAAGATTTCTGGGAAAATAATGAGTATTTTACAACTCCATTTTCAGTCCACATAAAAATGCTACCTGCCAGTTTTCAAAGGGAATGGCATAGCGCTGCATTCTGACATTTAACTTAAAAATTTGGTCATGTCACTTTACTGGACTTTTATACGTATTTCCTTGGGTCTCACTCACATCTCATTCATGTCACTTTTGGTAGCGCCTACAATTGTGAGTAACTATTTTCAAGAATGAAACACATGGGGCAGCACCTGTGGCTGAAAGGAGTACGGCTCTGGCTCCATATACCGGAGGTGGTGGGTTCAAACCCAGCCCTAGCCAAAAACTGCAAAAAAAAAAAAAAAAAGAATGAAGCACATTAAGAGTAAAATTAGGACCAAAATATCTGATGAGCACCTTGAACTCAGAATTCCAAATAAGTTCCATCAGACTAGATACTGATTCATTAGTTTCTCATATACAATGTCAAATATCCCACTAGATATTTGAGAGTGTTGTTATGTTGCCCACTTTTATAATCAAAAAGTATTCAAAACCCCCCCCCCCAAAGAAGCTGGATGAGGTGACTCACACCTGTAATCCTAGCACTTGAGAGGTCGAGGTGGGTGGATTCCTTGAGACCTTATTATCTAAAAATAGGTAGGTGTTGTGGTGGGCACCTGTAGTCCCAGCTTACTCAAAGGAAGAAAAAAAAAACCCAAAGCTATTTTATTAGTTAAAGATGTACATTTTCTGTATTAGTGATTGCAAACTTGGGACCTGCTCAATGACTTTAAAGACTTTCTCAACGGGCTGCTGCATAATTAGGATTTTTTTTTTTTTGAGACAGTCTCACTTTGTCACCCTTGGTAGAGTGCCCTGGAGGCTCACAGCAACCTCCAACTCTTGGGCTTAAGTGATTCTCTTGCCTCAGCCTCCTAAGTAGCTGGGACTACAGGTGCCTGCCACAAGATCTTGTTCTTGCTCAGGCTGGTCTCGAACCTGTGAGCTCAGGCAATCCACTCGCCTTGGCCTCCCAGCATAATTAGGATTTTTATGTGAGAATGTTTTTTCCTTTCTGTGGTGGTGGCTATTACAAAAATTATGTGCAGAGTTTTTTTGGTTGTTCATCAGCATTTGTTAGTGTTTGTGTACTTAATGTGTGGCCCAAGACAACTCTTATTCTTCCAATGTGGCCCAGAGAAGTCAAAAGGTTGGACACCCCTGACTTAAGGAAATTAGAAATTTCATACTTAACAACCTGATACATTATAGACCCAGTAAAATTTGGGAATTTTTCTGATGGGGAAGAAGAAGTAGGAGATAGCATAAATATATAAATTGCAAAGAATGAGTAAGATACTTGTTTCAGCAGTCTTCTTGAAGAGTTGGGAAGCATTAAATAAAAATTGTTGCAAAATGAAATGAAAGGATTCATATTAGTTAGCAGAAGAAATAGTGGGCATTGGGGTAGAATAGGGATGCACAGATGGTACATCTTTGAAGGTAACTTGAGTTTGAAGTAAATTAATTAACAATGATTCCAGCTTGTATGATTGTGTGGGTTTTCATTAGTGTGCTCAACATTCTGTTATTATTTGGATTGGTACAGGGTTAGAGTTTAGTAATTACAATGGTAGAAAAAGGGGGCAGAATTAGTTAGGTGGGCAGATTAAAAAGTGAATACTGTTGAGTCTGAGCGGGAGAGAAAACGTTGCCAAGAAAGGGAGTTGATAGGTCACAAGTAAATGGGTACTCAGGAACAGGAGGCCTTAGGTTGAGGTAAAAGTTAGGAGTTTATGTTCGAAGAATAAGTCATTCACTTTTAAGATTACAGAGGTGGTGAACAGTTCATATGATAGCAAGACCCAAGGCAAGATCATGACAAATGATTACTTTTAGTGGAGTCAATGGGGAATGGTTAAAGAACTGTGGTGGTGGTACATGAAGCCTAGGGAGGGGTGGGAGAAAAAGAAGATATAAGGGATATTTTATATAGGTAGTATGGATAGGACTCAATAGCAGTTAGTGTGGTAGGAGAAAGGGAATTTAGGATGCTTTTAAGTTTTTTTTTTTTTTTTTTTTACAAATTACTGGTTAGTTGAACTGCTAACCAAATGAACTATTTAAAAGAAGTGATTAAAGAATTTAATTTAGGTGTTATTAACTCAGTTTGGTCATGTTGAGGGGATATAATTTGGTGGTGGTTGTAGAGGTGTTCTGAATTATATTAACAATGTAACTTTCATTAAGTATTATTTCTCCTTTGAGATAACTTTAGCCTGATATATGTATTATCTAATCATTTCATAGTAGTTCTGACTATAAAGTATTTCTTTTCCTTCTTCAAGGTATTTTATGAGAAAATTCAAACCGGATAAAAGTGTTGTAGGAAAAAGTGAAAGCCCTTCAAAACCCTTGTTTTTCTTTTTCTTTTCTTTTTTTTTTTGAAACAGAGCCTCAAGCTGTTGCCCTGGCTAGAGTGATGTGGCATCACAGCTCACAGCAACCTCCAACTCCTGGGCTCAAGCACTTCTCCTGCCTCTGCCTCCTAAGTAGCTGGAACTGCAGGCACCTACCACAATGCCTGGTTATTTTTTGGTTGCAGCTGTCATTGTTGTTTGACAGGCCCAGGCTAGATTTGAACCTGCCAGCTCAGGTGTATGTGGCAGGTGCCTTAGATGCTTGAGCCATAGGCACTGAGCCACTCTTGTTTTTCTTAGTTCTTTAAATGTCTAGACTATTTCTGATTTATGGGAAAGAGAATAAAAAAAAGGTCAAGCTTTCTTTTTCTTTTTTTTATTTTAGCGACAGAGTCTCATTGCCTTCGGTAGCATGCTCACAGCAACCTCCAACTCCTGGGCTTAGGTGATTCTCTTGCCTCAGCCTCCTGAGTAACTCGGACTACAGGCACCCATCACAATGCCTGGCTATTTTTTTGATGCAGTTTGGCTGGGGCCAGGTTCGACCTGCCACCCTCGGTATATGGGGCCAGTGCCCTACCCACTGAGCCACAGGCTCTGCCCAAGCTTTCTTTTCTAAGATTTTAATGTTATTTACCAAACAATGACAAGTAGTCTCTAAATTTGGATATAAATTAAATTGGTTGCTGACTCCCTTCCTAAATTAGCCTTTTTAAACACTTTATAGTTCTTACTTTCCACTTTTTACTCTTTTTCTCTGCAGAACTTACTGCCTTTTACTTCATTAGATGTAAACTGTATGAGGGCAACAATCTTGAGTTAATTATAGATGTGATGTTTATAATGTATTTTTAAAAGCCACCTGCTACTGTAATAGTTTTAAGTATTTTTCCCTCTTTAAATAGGAGAAAGAAGCATGCCATTCATAGTAGTGACACAACTTCTTCTGATGAAGAACGCTTTGAAAGGAGGAAATCAAAGAGTATGGCAAGAGCAAGAAATAGGTTAGTAAATGTTTTAGTATTATTTCCATGGTAGAAAAAAGGAAGAATAGTTTTTGTTTTGTTTTTTTGAATGACTTTCTTACCTATATTGGCATTTTGCTAACACTGATGTTCAACACATGCCCTAGACTAAAGTGATGCACAGACTTGGTTTTACGTAGTGATCCTTTTTTCTTCTTTGAGACAGTTTCACTTTGTTGCCCTTGGTACAGTACCGTGGCAGCATAGCTCACAGCAACCTCAAGTGATCTTCTTGCTTACCCTCCTGAGTAGTTGGGACTA